CATTGTCTTTTCACTTTCTTGATTGTTTCTCTTTGTGAAAAAACTTTTTAGTTTGATATAGTCTCACCTTTTTATTTTTTAATTTGTTGCTTGTGCTTTAAGTGTCATCTCCAAAAAATTATTGTCAAGACATAAGTCAAGAAACTTTTTTCCCTATGCTTTCTTCTAGGAGTTCATGGTTTCAAGTCTTACCTTTAAGCCTTTAGTTAATTTCAAAATAAATTTTGTGAGTGGTATAAGATAATGGTCAAAGTTTCATTCTTTTTAATGTGAATATCCATATTTTTTCCAGCACCATTTATTAGACTGTCTTTTCTCCATTAAGTATTCTTGACTCACTTGTCAAGCATTAGGTGACAATGCTTGGATTTACCTCTAGTATTTCGATTCTGATCCACTAACCTATTTGTCTGTTTTAATGCCAATACCATACTGTTTTGGTTACTACAGCTATATAGTATAGCTTGAAATCAGGAAGTGTGATGCCTCCTGCTTTGTTCTTCTCTCTCAGCATTGTTACTCAATCCTTAAAAAGATGCAAATATATAACAGTATATCTTTGTGAAAATTAAACCTACTTGGATGAAAGTATAAGATTAAAGCCAAAGGCACATGCTGCATGTTTTGTGCAACTAGTTATGTAACATAGAATAGATTTTTATAAAGATCAGAGGACTTGATATAAATATATTTCATCTTTAATTAAACAGATTTTATGGCAAAGCAAAGTTATATTACTTCAGTTGTTGTACAATTGAAGACATTAGCACTTGTCATAGGTAATGTAATAAGGGAATCTCTGTTACTCAGTGGTTCCAAACATTTTCTTTGGCATGTCTGAAATCATACAATAAATTCTGGAAATATTGGTGAACCACTTTATAAATCTGTCCGATAGTAAGTTCCTCATTGTTTGATGGTGAGTACAATGTCCTTGCAAAAAGAGGTACTTGTGTAATTATTTCAATTACGTAATTCTCACTCTTTCATAGGACCCAAGCTGAATCTAGATTTTCCAATTATCTCCTTTGCAAAGAGACCCATAAGGATAATCAAATGAAACACTGAGACCAGATATCTGCTGAAAATGCCCATTTGAAACTGATGAATTACAATATGCTGATAAATGAATTTATGAATTTAGGGTTAACTGTTTAGATTCTTAGCAGATTACAACTGCCTGTGGATGTTATATTTTTAAATTTCAGAGTTTAGTTTTATGAATAGGCTGTGACAAAGAAGGAACGGGGAGGGGGGACCAGAAAAAGCTAATATGTTTCAAACTAGATCATGAACATAGGATTGAGAAAAAAAAGTTTCTCCAAAATGTGTTTTAATGAGTGATAACTGAATATAGTGAAGAACAAAACACTAAAATGTGAGAAAGAAGTAAATTATGCTTTATTATAAAAAATAGAACATCGTCTTGACCACACAGATTACAGTTTAATGTATTTTCAAACAACAGCCACCACTAATGAAGAAAATTAAGAGATCAAACCTGGTCATGTCATTCCCCTCCTTAAAACTCTTCAAAGGCTTCCCATTGCATCTAATACAGTGTCCAGACTTAACACAGCACCTCTGGAACCTCTATTTGACTTAGCTTGTCTTCTTATTATCTCCTCCTAACCCATTGGCTTGGCTCCTTTGACTGTAATGATCAAGGCTGTGTATACTTTTCTAGAAGTTCTGCTTAGAATTCCTCTCAATGCCTAGAATTCCTCTTACTGCTTGGAATTGTTCTCCCTCTCTTCTTCTAGCCATTTAACAGGACTCAGCTCCACTATCACTGTCTCCAAAAACTTTTCCCTGACCTTACTGTCTGCCATTCCTCTAAAGCACTGGTTTATGAGCTCCTTGAGGACAGGAACTGTGTCCTCTTCATGTTTATCTTTCCCATTGCTGGTGTCATGTATTGAATTGAGTCCTCCCAAAATATTTTGAATTCTTAAATCATAGTACCTGTGTATATATATTCTTAACTGAAAATAGGGTTTTTGCTGATGATCAAGTTAGAATGAGGTCATTATGGTGGGCCCTAATCTGATACGACTGGTATCCTTATAAAAAGAGGAAAGTTGGACACAGGGTCACACACACACAGGGGACATCATGTGAAGATGAAGGCAGAATTTGGGGGGGCATATTCCTATAACCCAAGGAATTCCAAAGATGTCCAGCAATCCACCATAAACTAGGAGAGAGACAGGAAGCAGATTTTCCTCCACAGTCCTCAGAAGGAATTGCCCCGCTGATGCCTTGATCTGCACTTCTGATCTTCAGAATTCTCAGACGAAAAATTTCTGTTAAGGATTCCAGTTTGTGGCACTTTGTTCGGGCAGCCCTATAAAACTAATAGCGAGTAGAACTGAGTGTTTTTAGTGAATGAATGAAATAACCTACCACTTTATTTTACTAACCTGAACCCTTTCCCTGCACAATTAAGGCATGCTCATGAAAAAAGTATTCAGTGATCTTTATTTAATTCATTAATTGATTTTAAAAATTAATTTTGAAATATCTACTTCATTTATAACATGCCTGGGGAACATAAATAAAAGCATTATTATTCCCTCTACCTTCAGAATGATAACTGTCAGCATAGAGGGGGGATGAATTTTTTTTATGGCACAGCTGGCAGTTAGATGGTACATACAATAGCAATTGTTTATGGCAGGTACCTTTTCTGGTTGGTTGGTGTCCATACTACACCAGCTATTACCTGTTCTAAATATCAAAACTTCCTTTAAATAACTATAATTAAATGTAGAAAATGATGTGTCATTAGAAGATAGCATCCTATGTGGTCATGGAGAGAGATTACTTTAAATTTAAAAGGGTGGGGATTAGGAAAGACTTTGCAGAGACCTATTCAATTAACCCTTCACGTTTTCCAGTCTGCTTTCCCCAGCAACAGCCCTGCCAGCTAGGACATTCCCATCAATCTTCAACATGTGAGATAATTTTTACATCTTTTAAATCATCGTTTGCTTTGATGGCTTTTATTCAGAGGTGAATGTTAATGACCTTGGTTTGCAATGGCAGCTAGAATTGACCTGGGAAAACCACACAGACAGATGCAGTTGATAGGTAGAGGCAGTGTCTATCACTTAGGTTATATTTCAGTGCTGGAAGCATGGAGGATATTCCATTTCAAGTACAATAAAACAGACTGTAAAACAGTAAGAAAGCATCTAATTACATTCTGTCATATGGTCCCATGAGCAGTCAACTATGATTGGAACTGGTATTTCATTTGTAAGGATGAAAGCAAGTTATGTTGATCATTCTTGGAGTTAACAGAGTAAATATTTTCATATTTTTCTATTGTTCCTTTAAACAAAATAGACACTGATGTACTCTCCATTAATTCTTAGGCATTCAACATAGTTATTGGCACATTAAAAATATTCATTATGAGTTATTCTGGTGCATTTTTTTATTGAGTAAAGTACTCAGCTGAAGTGTACACATCTCTGTTAATGTGATATGCTTTAAATTTAAAAGAATACCTATGCCATATGGTCATTTGGTCTTTTAACCATTCAATCATTAAACTATTTATTGAGAAATTACTATATGTGAGTGCCATGCTAAATATGGTCTATTTTATGCAACTCCTGCTTTCTAGGATCATATAATTTAGTTGGAGAAACTCAAAGCACAAAAAAAAGATTATTTTGTAAAGTTACTTAATCTAACTACTTACACTTTCTATGCTTATACCCAGACAATTGCTAAAGGAAAAAAAAAATACATATCAGAATAGTGCAATCATTAATTTGTAGTCATTAATTAGACAATCAACAATTCCTTACAATTTTTCTGAATTTCTGTAATCAATTATCCCTTCTATTTTCTATAATAGCTCTTTCAAACTTCCGCACTTTCTTCAAATCTCTAACCTCACTAATTCCCTCATTCTTGGCTTAATTTCAAACAAGCATAATTTCTTGTTATCAGAGTAAATTGAAGATGAGAACTCCTTTAGTGTCCTGACATTAAACCTATTATCCTAACCTTTATCTGTGTCATCCTTTTGTCTTCCCTTCTAATTCAGTGAAGAAAGTGTCTTCCTGTCCCCAGTCATTCATTTATCCCAAACTATTTCTTAGGTTCAGTCCACGGACTAAGTGTACATTGGTGAGTACAAAAGTTAGTTTCTTCTCTTGGAGCTAGTATTTTGCTAAAGACTATTTGTTGCTTTCCCCTGAATTATTTTCATTTTGTCAAACTGTGGGTCTTTTAATGCATTTTTCCCTCTGCAGGATGTTCTCTCCCCAATTCCTCCTTTTTATCCTGGGTCACTTTCATCTTCCAGGTCTCAGATTGGATATTAGGACCTCCAGTCAGCCTTCTCTGACACTCAGGATAGGCAACCCACCTCTCTGTGCCCGTAGCCCCTGTTCCTCTCCCACCAACACTTACCACACTGAGGTGGTTTGGTTTTTCTCATTTCTTGTCCTCCCCTCCACTAGAAAAGAACCATAGATCTCTGATTCACTGATATAATCACATTGTTTAGGCTAGTCATCAATAAATGTTTGTTGAATTGGTTAACTCATTCTATTGAAATAGAAGTGAAAAGGCTGATATATATCATTGGTTCTACTAGAGTTCAACTTAGAAATGAAGTTCCCTTGTGAGTTTGAGTTGGCAAAGACCTGAGTGTTCTTGAAAATTAAGTTGGTGAAGGTATTTCAAATGCGGAGAACAAGGGTAACAACACAAGCTAAATCAAAACACTACAGCAAGGTCAGCTTGCCTGGGGGAAGCTTAGTAGCAGGAAATAAGGAATAGTGAGAAAGGGTATGCAGAGTTCCTACAGAAAGTCAACAGTGATAGACAATTTCAAGTAATAGAGCAACATGACAAAAAAAGAATTTGGAAAAAAAATAACCCCTAAAAATATTTGCAGAATAGATCAGAGAATCAGGCAGGGAAAGATTGGAATCAGGGAATGTGGTCATGAGGCTTTTACAAGAAAACAGGCATGATTGGATAAATACTTGGTTTATTGAAATAGTCGTAGAGAGAGGAGTTTTACATTCACATTTATATTTGTATTCACTGAGGCTTCTGACAAAACATAATAACTACTGTATTATACTTTATTACAATAAATATTGCCCAGTAACTGTCTGCCAGATATTATAATAGTCTCTGGGATCTACTGGTGAATAAGCGTGATGTCAAACATTAAACAGCTTCCAGTTCAATCTGAAATATTAATTTAATTGGAAAACACAGAAGACAGGAAAGGAGGTCAGTTTTGAAGGGAAGTTATGAGTGCATTCTTTCAAGCTTAGGAGTTTAAGGCGAGAAATCAAGTGATGGAGGTACAGGAAGTTTGGACACCTAGCCATGGTAAATGAGACAAGAAAGAGAGTATAGAGAGAATGAGATTTTGTGGAATATACTTTGGAGAATATTATTTTAGAGTTATGGTCATCAAATTTAGCATGCATCCCTGGGGTTTCTGATTCAGGATATCTGGCATGGGCCCTCAATTTTGCAAATCCAACAAGCTCCTACATGATGCTAATGCCACTGGTATGAGGATCACATTCTGAGAATCACTGTTCCACAGCAATAAAATGAAGATAAATAAAATGAGGAGAGAAGTAGTAAGAGAAATAGAGAAGAAACAGGGCAATCTCATGTTGTGAGTATAGGAATGAAAAATAGGTAATGTTTTATGTAATGCAGAAAGAGCAAAGGCCCATCAAAATTTTTCTGGCCTTTTGGAAGAAAATTCTGTATTACTGGCTGGGCTCTTTGCCTGCTGGAACTGGTTCGTAGTTACCTCAGTCATCTTCATCACAGGAGAGAATGACACTAAAACAAAAAATAAAAATAAATAAATAATAAGTAAGATTTCCATTGGAAAGAAAGGAGATAGATATGCACAACCACTCAGACCATAAAGATTAGATGCTGTCTTAGTTTACTGGGACTACTGTAACAAATTACCACAAACTGGGTGACTTGAAACAACAGAGTTATCTTCTCAACATTCTGGAGCCTAGATCTGAGATCAAGGTATCAGCAAGATTTATTCCTCTGGAGAGCCCTGAGAGAGTTTGTTCCATGTCTCTTTTTCGGTGGTTGCTTGCAGTCCTTGGCACTTTTAGGTTTATAGATACATCACCACAACCTCTGCTTTGTCATCACCTGCACTGTTTCCTGTGTGTCTGTTTCTGTGTCTAAATTTTCATCTTCTTACTAAGAAAGTATAGTCAGCATAAACTCATCATAAATTGATTACATCTGCAAAGACCCTGTTTCCAAATAAAGTCACATTCAAAGTCACCAGTTACCTAGGACCGTAACATATTTTTTGATGGGACATAGTTCAACTCAGCAGATGCCACTTGAGTCAGTTGTGATGTATTGAGCAAGATGGATAAAGATTGAGAAGAATGTTTCTGATAAGAAAACAGTAATGTGGTGCTGGCACGTCTGGGTGGCTTAGTCAGTTAAGCATCCGACTTCAGCTCAGGTCATGATCTCAAGGTTTGTGGGTTCAAGTCCTGAGCCCAGCTCTGTGCTAACAGCTAAGAACCTGGAGCCTGTTTTGGATTCTGTGTCTCCCCTCTCTCTTCCCGTCCCCTGCTCACACTCTGTTTCTGTCTCTCTCTGTCTATCTCTATCTCTATCTCTATCTCTATCTCTATCTCTATCTCTATCTC